AACATATTGTACAACTGTAATACGAGTGTGAGTGTTTTTGTTTGTATTCATCTTCTGAACAGAGATAGATTACAAAACTATTTTTGTGTTTATTTAAATTAAACTTTGTATTGTCAAAATTGAATTTGTATCATTCGTTATTCGACATGCTCAGATTGATTTCTTTTTTTTTCTATCAACAATAATGAATTGTAAAAGTGTTCTTTTTCGTCATTTGAAAAATAAACTTACTAATTTGAAATACTTTTAATGAACTCATAAATATATTCAATACAGACGAAAAAAGTTTAATCGAAACTATATCGACTGTCATGTTACTTTTTGTTTCTTGATCAATTGCGATTGTGACTGTTTCATTCTGCACAGATGCAGATGAAACACAAACGATCAATTAGTCTCGAGTACATCAATATGTTTCGATAAAACATAATTGATTTAACTCGATGATCACTACTAATTGTAGTACTATCACAACGTTGATCAATCATCGAATATTCAATTGATAGCTAATATCAATTGAATATGTCGATTCACCCAAAAAGTGACTATAAAATAGTCACAGTTTTCAACGGTAAAGTAGCATTCCCCCTTTCTTCTTCTTCTTCTTCTTCTTCTTCCCTTAATATATTATAATATGTATGTTTTATTTTTTAACTATTTTAGCTTGCAATCGTCGATACAATTATCAACATCACAGGTAAGTATAGTTTCATTTTTTTGCGTTGCCTCACCCTTTTACCCCAATTGTTTAATATTTTAATTTTATATAATAATAATAATAATTTTTTCGTTTCAGCTGCTAATCCTTTTTTTTTCTATTTTAGTTGTACGTAAAATGTAAGTATATTTTTTTATATAATATTATGTATTGGTGATGGGTGTCCTACGTCCTATGTCCTACCGGGGGAGTGCCAAGATTACTTTGGTGCCCATAGCACGTACAGGTCGCTATATAGTTCTTCCTGTTGTATGTTCTATACACGCTAGATCTATGTCTGTACGTGAAGAGGCTCGCCTCTCTATGGCACCACCAAGGTAGTGCTTGTTCGCGCGAGCAACAATTACCTGGTAAGCAAAAATTTTCATTATCATTCCAATCAATTTATTTCTGCTTATTTCGTTTTAGTTCATCTCGATTTCTTCAACAGCAACGTAATTTCACTTATCTTATTCCAAAAAATTAAATTAAATTAATTGCTATTTTTATGTTTTAGTTCCATTCAACAATTCAATCCAAACGAACACCAATGTAAGTATATATATTTTTCAATCTTGTTCGTTATTTTTATTGTAACTTTTTTTTTAATTTTTAAAATAAACATTATTAAAATAACTCGAATTTTTTCTTTTCATTTCAACAATACATATTTTGTGAAAACAAAATAAAATTTCCTTTCACTTCACTTATAAATTATTTTATTTTATCAGTAAATATTTTCAAAAGCATACAAATTTTTTTTGTTCCTTTAAATAATACAAATTTTCCAAATGACTCGAATTTTTCAAATAATACAAATTTTATTTTCATTTAAATAATTCAAATTTTATTTTTGTTTAAATAATAAATATTTTCATTTTCGGAATAAAATATTTTCAAAGTAACAAGATAATTTTCATGTCAAGAATAAAATATTTTGTGAAAATGAAACAAATTTTATTTCATTTCACTAATAAATAAATAAATGTTACTACTAAATTATTTAATTTTACTAAGAATATCTTTTCATTTTACTACTAAATTATTTTATTTTAATAACAAATTATTTTCATTTTACCAATAAATAATTTTCAAAATAATACAAATTTTCTTTTTCATTTAAATAATCCAAATTTTCTTTTCAGGAATAAAATATTTTCAAAGTAACAAATTAATTTTCATGTCAAGAATAAATATTTTGTGAAAAAAAAACAAATTCTTTTATTTAATTAATTTCTTTTCATTTAACAAATAAATAAAAGAACAAGAAAAGAAACACATGATGTAATCTTATATTTTGCTTTTTTCTTTTCGTTGAAGGGAAAAAGGGAAAGAGTAAAAGGAAAATTGCTTTTTTCTGTTCATTCATTTCAGGGTGTGGAAAAAGAAACGAACAAAGAGAAAACAATTCATTAGTCTTTTTCGATAGAAAATCGTTGAATACGATTATTACGCGTATCGGCGACATAGAGATTGCCTTGTCGATCGAAAGTCAAACCATACGGGGTGAAGAACTGATTTGCTTCTGCTCCTACACCATTTCCACCTGCAATTACAGTGCCTACTTTTGCTCCTTGAGTCCAACGCATTATACGATGATTAAACATGTCTGCTATATAGAGTGTACCCAATGCATCGACGAAGATCCCAAGAGGTTTATCCAATTGTGCCAGAGAACTTCCTGTGCCTTGTCCCCCAGCAACCACAATACCTTCTTTTGCACCTTCAACCCATTTTATTACACGATCAGACCAGAACTGTGATATGTACACTGAACGATGTTGATCGACAGAGAGACTTGCCACTTCCTTTAGTTGATCGAGTCCAAGGTCCACCCCATTATTACCAGCTATGAGAGTGCCATTCTTCTCACCCAATCGATACCGTCTTAATTCCTTTTTTCCGCCGTCACCGACGTAGAGATTTCTCTGTTTATCCATTGCTAATCCCCAACAATCGACATTGTCGAAGAGTAATTTACCTTCTGTTGTGCCGCTACGACGAGACCATTGTACAACTCTGAAATTCCCCTTATCACAAATAATGAGACTATCCGTCTCTTTGTCAATTAATATATCACTTGGTACGTCGATTGTATTTAATGTGTTTATTGTGCTTGTACCACTAGTAACAACTTGTCCATTCGTCGCACCACTCTTCCATTCCATGATACGACTATTCCCGTGCTCAGAAATAAACATTGTTTGATCATCATCAACGGAAAGGGACCAAGGCCAGTAGAGTTGATTAGTGGCAACCCCAGCCCCATTACCCCCAGCAACAGTCACTCCGTTCTGTGACCATTTAGCATTAGCAGGAATATTAACTAGAAAAGAAAACATAAGAATAAAAGGAGATCTCTCTCCCTCTATCGCGCTGAGATGTGGGCGTGATTTTTCTGCTAATCTATACTCACACCCAATCATGGAGATAATTAATCGATCAATCGAAATCGAGCCTTACGAATAGATCGCCAAGTAAGAATAGTTTTCTCAGTGATAAATTGCATTATAGCTATACAAAAACTATTTAATACCTATCAATTGAACATTTTTCGTACGCTATACGGACCACCAACACCGTTTTTTGGAAGAAAACAACCTGATCGGTAGACGAACACTTTGACTAATTCTCAAATACAATCACGGACCATTATAGCTTTCAGAATCATATCAAATTTAATCAAGTAAGTCATGAAATTTCTTCACTTGCTTTAAAGAGACAATAGCAGACCGCGATTTTTACAGCTATAACTGATTCTCCCGATTTCATACTAATACACCCTTCTTACAGGCGACGTCCGTGCTTATATGCAAAGAAAAAAGTAGTTAAGGAGCGAAAGAAAATCCGATAATTCTTAGGAGAAACTTGCATTATGAGAGTAAAAGGAGTATTATTTTCATAGATGAACTGATGAAGAACGCAATACAAGACAACATTTCGCACAGCACAAGAATGCAATAGCAAAATATTTCTGCTTCTACGAGACCGATACCGTACCTAAGCTTATATCTCCCGATGCCGATCCCGTGGTGGTAAAATCAGCTTTATCGGTGCATTTTACTGAATTTGTATTAGCATCATGTGAGCAAGTGGCGTGTGGACCACAACCTCCATTCTCGATAGTGCAACTATCTGGAAAGATAAAAATGAC